CGGCAGTTGACTTCTGACTTCAAACTACTATGGCCCTACTATCTGTCACATTCGACCCCTTCCAAAGTACTCATCTTACCTTTTTTATTTCTTTGTGTCTGTCTGTCTCTTTTATATCTGTGAATCACTCTTCTGTTCCCCCTCGCGACTTTTTGTCACCTTGATGTTCCTCCTCCTCTCTGTGAAGCCCCGAAGTCAGCTCCAGGGCTAATGATAACTATCAAAACGCCTGCCATTTGATATAAATAAATAAATAAATATTCAGCAGCTTATAATTTCAGCCTAGCAGAGATTAAATAGCCAACATTTTGTCAGAAGAGCTCTCCTAAACTGGGTTTATAATGGCCCAAAACAAATCAATCCTCCATGAATATCAATAGCTTTGCATATTTCATTCAGAATCATCTGTAGCACACATTCGTTATGAGAGATTGTAATTCAGACATAATCGCAGGAAATGTGGAGATTAAACATGGTTTACGATCGAACGGGCATTTCTCAAACAGAGTAAAAAAGGTGTTTTTATTAATGTGGATGAATTTGGCAAAATTATAGGAGACAGAAATAACTCAAGAAAACCTGAAAAGGAGAAAGTAAGTGTATGCGAAGGTCTAAGTAACATAGTGTCAAAGAAACTAAGAGTGTAGCATTGCGTATGGCCAATTAGAAAGGTATGCTGACCGAAACAGAATTCAGTATGTCTAATTTGCGAAGACACGAGATATGTAGACTGAACACAAACTATTTGCGCGTATCCACAACAGTATACAAGTCTTTTGGCCAATGACCCTAAACAATTTAGGATAGGAGAATGCGTTATCCGTTTAATGAAAATAAGGGATTCGAGAAGGACTCTTGCGTGAGAAGCAATCCCACACGACGAACTCTGAATTCACCAGTTTTAATTACAAGAAACTGCGCACACTCCTTTTGAAATACTTACTGTTAAAACAAATCCTTGCAAATAATAGCAAAACCCCACATTTTAAAGTAGAAATAAATAGCTTTGAGGAAGCTTTACTAACGTTTAACTGAAACAAATAGAATCAAGACAAATGAGATAGAATGCACAGCCTGCTTTATTGAGTCTTTGATTTCAGTACTACTACTACCAGTTACATTATGCACTTCGCCTACACTATTAACAGAAGACAGGTAATTAAAATATAAGAATTTAAGGTAAGTTTGGGTTTGACTTCAATGGAATTGCATAGAGTTTGCACTACCATATCGACTGCATTTGTTTGCCAGAAACGAGTTTCAACAAAGTGAGAGGAGCACGAATGGAACTCACACTTCCATAACCAAGGCGATTTCGCGAGTAGACAAATTTGTGAGCCCCAACAGTGTCAAGAAGCCATTGGAAATTTTGGCAACCAAGGTCATTTCTTAATTGCTTCCGCTTGGATACATCTCCGTAGTCGACATTCTAAAGGTTACAAATATAAAGGAAATAGTAGTGCTACTTGATTAAGCACTTTCTTTCACGTTCAATATCTAATTTATTTACACGAAAAGTCAGTTTTCTTAGCTTAAAGTACACAAAAGGAGGGTGTGGGGGGGAGGGTCATGATTAAAAAGAGAGCGGAGCGCATTCAGGGATATGGGAGCTTCTTGATAAATTTGACTTTTGAACTTTCATTTCTTAACAACTGGCACGCGATACAGATTACGCTCCAAAGCAGCTTCAAAGTTGGAAATTATCGGAAGAAAGTATCCTCAAAGATTAAAAGCCAACAATATCTCGAGGACGGGGTGTGCGATAGACTTACCTCCACGTGGTGCACACAGGGCAACGCATACTCATAAGGCAGAAAAGTCAATTGATCGTCAATTGACTTCTGACTTCTATGGCCCGACTATTTGTCCTATTCGACCCCTTTCACAGTACTCATCTTACCTTTTTTATGCCTTTGTGACTGTCTGTCTCTTTTACCTCTGTGAATCATTTTTCTGTCTCCCATCTCGACGTTTTTGTCACTTTGATGTTCCTTCTCCTCTCTGTGAAGCTCCGAAGTCAGCTCAAGGACTAATGTTAACTTTCAAAACGCCTTCCATTTGGTATAAATAAATGTCTCGATGATAAATTGCCAAACGCGAAACCCGATCTCGGAGAAGATGTTCTTATCTCAGGATCAAAATATTTAGCTGGCACTTTTCTCTACTTCT